ATGATGATGTATCTGAATGATGATAGATGTATCTGATGTATCTGAATGATGATGTATCTCTGAATTATGATGTATCTGAATGATGATGTACCTCTGAATGATGATGAATCTGAATGATGATGTATCTGAATGATGATGTATCTCTGAATGATGTTGAATCTGAATGATGATGTATCTGAATGATGATGTATCTGAATGATGATGTATCTGAATGATGATGTATCTGAATGATAATGTATCTGAATGAATGATGTTGAATCTGAATGAAGATGTATCTGAATGATGATGTATCTGAATGATGATGTACCTCTGAATGATGATCTGAATGATGATGAATGATGATGATGTATCTGAATGATGATGTATCTGAATGATGATGTATCTGAATGATGATGTATCTGAATGATGATGTATCTGAATGATGATGTATCTGAATGATGATGTATCTCTGAATGATGATGTATCTGAATGATGATGTATCTGAATGATGATGTATCTGAATGATGATGTATCTGAATGATGATGTATCTGAATGATGATGTATCTGAATGATGATGTATCTGAATGATGATGTATCTGAATGATGATGTATCTGAATGACGATGTATGTATCTGAATGAAGATGTATCTGAATGATGATGTATCTGAATGATGATGTGATCTGATCTGAATGATGATGTATCTGAATGATGATATATCTGAATGATGATGTATCTGAATGATGATCTATCTGAATCGAATGATGTATCTGAATGAAGATGTATCTGAATGATGATGTATCTGAATGATGATGTATCTGAATGATGATGTATCTGAATGATGATGTATCTGAATGATGATGTATCTGAATGATGATGTATCTGAATGATGATGTATCTGAATGATGATGTATCTGAATGATGATGTATCTCTGAATGATGATGTATCTGAATGATGATGTATCTGAATGATGATGTATCTGAATGATGATGTATGATGATGATGTATCTTTGAATGATGATTGATGTATCTCTGAATGATGATGTATCTGAATAATAATGTATCTGAATGATGATGTATCTGAACGATGATGTATCTGAATGATGATGTATCTGAATGATGATGTATCTCTGAATGATGATGTATCTGAATGATGATAGATGTATCTGATGTATCTGAATGATGATGTATCTCTGAATGATGATGTATCTGAATGATGATGTACCTCTGAATGATGATGAATCTGAATGATGATGTATCTGAATGATGATGTATCTCTGAATGATGTTGAATCTGACTGATGATGTATCTAGATGATGATGTATCTGAATGATGATGTATCTGAATGATGTATGATGATGATGTATCTGAATGATGATGAATCTGAATGATGATGTATCTGAATGATAATGTATCTCTGAATGATGATGTATCTGAATGATGATGTATCTGAATGATGATGTATCTGAATGATGATGTATCTGAATGATGATGTATCTGAATGATGATGTATCTGAATGATGATGTATCTGAATGATGATGTATCTGAATGATGATGTATCTGAATGATGATGATATCTGAATGATGATGTATCTGAATGATGATGTATCTCTGAATGATGATGTATCTGAATGATGATGTATCTGAATGATGATGTATCTGAATGAAGATGTATCTGAATGAAGATGTATCTGAATGATGATGTATCTGAATGATGATGTATCTGAATGACGATGTATCTGAATGATGATGTATCTGAATGATGATGTATCTGAATGAAGATGTATCTGAATGATGATGTATCTGAATGATGATGTATCTGAATGATGATGTATCTGAATGAAGATGTATCTGAATGAAGATGTATCTGAATGAAGATGTATCTGAATGATGATGTATCTGAATGATGCTGTATCTGAATGACGATGTACCTAAATGATGACGTATCCATGAATGATGATGTATCTGAATGAGGATGTATCTCTGAATGATGATGTATGTGAATGATGATGTATCTCTGAATGATGATGTATATCTGAATGATGATGTATCTGAATGATGATGTATCTGAATGATGATGTATCTCTGAATGATGATGTATCTGAATGAGGATGTATCTCTGAATGGTGATGTATCTGAATGGTGATCGATGTATCTGATGTATTTGAATGATGATGTATCTGAATGATGATGTATCTGAATGAGGATGTATCTCTGAATGATGATGTATCTGAATGATGATGTATTCTGAATGATGATGTATCTGAATGATGATCTATCTGAATGAAGATGTATCTGAATGATGATGTATCTGAATGAAAGATGTATTTGAATGATGATCTATGAATGATGAATGAATGATGATGTATCTGAATGATGATGTATCTGAATGATGATCTATCTGAATGAAGATGTATCTGAATGATGATGTATCTGAATGATGATGTATCTGAATGAAGATGTATCTGAATGATGATGTATCTGAATGATGATGTATCTGAATGATGATGTATCTGAATGAAGATGTATCTGAATGATGATGTATCTGAATGATGATGTATCTGAATGAAGATGTATCTGAATGAATGATGTATCTGAATGATGATGTATCTGAATGAAGATGTATCTGAATGATGATGTATCTGAATGATGATGTATCTGAATGATGATGTATCTGAATGATGATGTATCTGAATGATGATGTATCAGAATGATGATGTATCTGAATGATGATGTATCTGAATGATGATGTATCTGAATGATGATGTATGATGATATATCTGAATGATGATGTATCTGAATGATGATCTGAATGATGATGTATCTGAATGATGATGTATCTGAATGATGATGTATCTGAATGATGATGTATCTGAATGATGATGTATCTGAATGATGATGTATCTGAATGATGATGTATCTGAATGATGATGTATCTGAATGAATCTGAATGATGATGTATCTCTGAATGATGATGAATGATGATGTATCTGAATGATGATGTATCTCTGAATGATGATGTATATCTGAATGATGATGTACCTCTGAATGATGATGTATCTGAATGATGATGTATCTGAATGATGATGTATCTGAATGATGATGTATCTGAATGATGATGTATCTGAATGATGATGTATCTGAATGATGATGTATCTGAATGATGATGTATCTGAATGATGATGATGTATCTGAATAATAATGTATCTCTGAATGATGATGTATCTGAATGATGATGTATCTGAATGATGATGTATCTGAATGATGATGTATCTGAATGATGATGTATCTGAATGATGATGAATCTGAATGATGATGTATCTGAATGATGATTGATGTATCTGATGTTGTTGAATGATGATGTATCTGAATGATGATGTATCTGAATGATGATGTATCTGAATGATGATGTATCTGAATGATGTATCTGAATGATGATGTATCTGAATGATGATGTATCTGAATGAAGATGTATCTGAATGATGATGTATCTGAATAATGATGTATCTCTGAATGATGATGTATCTGAATGATGATGTATCTGAATGATGATGTATCTCTGAATGATGATGTATATCTGAATGATGATGTATCTGAATGATGATGTATCTGAATGATGATGTATCTGAATGATGATGTATCTGAATGATGATGTATCTGAATGATGATCGATGTATCTGATGTATTTGAATGATGATGTATCTGAATGAAGATGTATCTGAATGATGATGTATCTGAATGAAGATGTATCTGAATGATGATGTATCTGAATGATGATGTATCTGAATGATGATGTATCTGAATGATGATGTATCTGAATGATGATGTATCTGAATGATGATGTATTTGAATGATGATGTATCTGAATGAAGATGTATCTGAATGATGATGTATCTGAATGATGATGTATCTGAATGATGATGTATCTGAATGATGATGTATCTGAATGATGATGTATCTGAATGACAATGCATCTCTAAATGATGATGTATATCTAAATGATGATGTATCTGAATGATGATGTATCTGAATGATGATGTATCTAAATGATGATGTATCTGAATGATGATGTATCTGAATGATGATCTATCTGAATGACAATGCATCTCTAAATGATGATGTATCTGAATGATGATATATCTGAATAATGGTGTATCTGAATAATGATGTATCTGAATGATGATGTATCTGAATGATGATGTATCTCTGAATGATGATGTATCTGAATGATGATGTATCTGAAAGATGATGTATCTGAATGATGATGTATCTGAATGATAGTGTATCTGAATGATGTATCTGAATGATGATGTATCTGAAATGATGATGTATCTGAATGATGATGTATCTGAATGATGATGTATCTGAATGATGATGTATCTCTGAATGATGCTGCATCTGAATGATGATGTATCTGAATGATGATGTATCTGAATGATGATGCATCTAAATGATGATGTATCTCTGAATGATGATGTATCTGAAATGATGATGTATCTGAATGATGATGTATCTGAATGAAATGACAGTGACCCTAATATAAAATGTTGATGTTTTTTAAAGAATTATATTGCAACCAAGCCTTGTTATTGCTCTTCATTCTCATCACAACACGAGATAAGTGCAGCGTGATTTCAACCACGGGTGACTTATCTGCCTGTCGTTGCACACTGTATAATGCGTACCCATTATGGTGTACCTAATAATGGTTGTCTTCAGTTCCGGTATGAACCATTGAAATGTGAATGCATTTCACATCATGGTCTTCAAAGAAAAGAATTAAAAAAAGTTATCGAGCCACAGATTACGTTTTCCTAAGTGCTGCATGAGTAAATGATAGTTAAGTAGATGTATTAAACATATCAACGTCCTTTCAGTTTACACTTTACAATAACGTGAACACAAAATCGGTATACTTTCTTTTGCGCATCAGTTTATGGCTGAGCGGGTGACCACGTGACACTAGGTAAGATGTTACGCTGGACACAGACAGTCTCAGTAATCGAACAGGTATACTTACTCTTGGCTGTTATAATATCATATCTGCGCCAGATCGCCATCCTCGTGAAAAGGTTGAATACTTGGTCACAAAGTGGCAAATATTTGCCCAAGTTGTCCCTGGTGTGATTGCGACATACTGTCAAGTTGCGTTGGTCTGTCCGTGATGTATGTCGCCGGGAGTCGGTTGAAACATTGATATGATATCAAAGTGCAGATACCGTACATCCCCATACAATAAGATTACCTCTATCTTTCCTACACACAGGTCACAGGCAAAGGTAGCCATCGAGGCCTCGTTCACAGCGCTTGAATATCATCATGACGTCACTCGTGACTATTTATGCACTTTTTGGAAAAAATAAGTCCTCACTGGAAGTCAACACTTGTGATGCATCAGAACGTTCTTTATTCAGTTCCTGAGTCTGTTTCTCCTGCTTTTTAATATCACTCAGTGGTTTCCTGAAGGTAGTGATGAAGGTGTTGTTTGTACAGAACGACACTTTAAGCTACAGGTATTCTCCCAAGCCGACAAGCGGCATGCTTTGATGTTGTGGTTGTTGTTAAGGGCCATAACGATCCCAGATGTTCATCCATGCGAAGAGATCTCACAGCCGGATGGAAGTGTTTTATTGAGAGAGGGTGAGCGAATTCTGTTTTAGCGCTGTTTATATCGCCATATCGCTGGCCTTAGGAGCCTGAAACAAATATACTGGACAAAAATAGTTTGGGATATATGTACATTTTGAAATTATGAATAATGATGTATTTATTCATTGACACATTGATAAAATATCCGTCATAAAAATACCTATATCCCTAACTTAGTTTGTCCAGAGTTTCAAGAAAGCTCATACAAGTCTGGACATGTGGCAAGTCTAGATTATTACAGTTTTTGGAAAAGAAGAAATGTCTCTGGGATGCTTTTCATTATAGGGGCGGTGGGATTGTGTTGTGGTTAATGCGTTCGCTCGTCACGCCGAAAACCCGGGTTCGATTCCCCACATGGGTACAACGTGTGAAGCACATTTCTGGTATCCCCCGCCGTGATATTGCTGGACTATTGCTAACAGCGGCGTAAAACCAAAGTCACTCACTCACTCACTTTTCATCATATTTAATTTATAACTTAGGAACCGTTTTTCTGTAAACATATGTTAACACGTCACAATTTAATTCTGGAAATCCAAATCAACATGCAGTTATCATGAATATATGCTAAGGATGAAAAAAAAATGAATCAACAATTCTTTTCATTTCAGAGACTAGATGTTAGTCTACACTTTGGTGAACCCCTCAAGCAGAGCATCCTGCTGACAGACCCGGAATCTCTGCGCAACTCTGCACAGCTTTGGGCAGTTGTCTTATTCCTGTCTTTGTCTACATTGGGGGGAAATGAAACTAACGGAATCGGGAGGTCAGGCTCGCTGACTTGGAAGAGACATGTCATCGTATCCTAACTTTGTTTGCGCAGATCGATGCTCATGCTGTTGATCACTGGAATGTCTAGTCCAGATACGATTATTTACAGACCGCCGCACTGCTGAGTGCGCCGTTAAACAACAACCAATCAATCAAACCAGTCTAAACGTGCTCTTTTGCCACAGGCAAACAATTTGTCCATACCAGGTTGGCTATCTACAAATGTGTACCACTGTGTCAACACAGCTATTTGTTTAGAAAAATCCATTGTAACCTGCACTCAGATTCGATAAAATACAAGCACAGAGGGTATTGATCAATAAGCTACACAATAACAGATAACATCAATGTGTGAAGCCAATTAACGGTGTCCTTCGCCGTGATGTTGCTGGAATATTGCCGAGTGTTGCGTAAAACTAAACTCACTCACTCACTTTAAGGTATTTTCTGTGTAGAGTGAGTGAGTTTAGTTTTACGCAACACTCGGCAATATTCCAGCTACATGTTAGCGGTCTGTACATAATCGTGTCTGGACCAGACAATCCAGTTATCAACAGCATGAGCTTCGATCTACGCAATGGGGATACGATAACATGTGTCAACTAAGTCAGCAGTTTGCGAAATAGCCACTGGCCCTCTAGCCCGTGCCTAGTAAAAACCCAGTCGAGCCATTAAATCTACAGTCACAGGGACATGGGGTCATCACTCTCTCCGACCTGTTAAAGAACGAATAAACTTTTATTTTTTGTACTCTTTTAACCATAACCTTTGAAAAACTTGTGGTAAGTCTTAAGCGGAACATCAAATTCATACTTAAAAAACTTGTGGTTAATTAATACCGAGCGACTCAAAGTTGCCGAAAAGTCGTCTGCTTCACTTTCGCCCGACAACGAAACCCCAGACAGATTACGTAACTCTGTCGCCAGAGTACTGCAGCAAACCGGAAGTGATGTTATCCGAGGAAGGATTTAATACACTTTTAAATCATGCAAGATTATGGCCTGATAAAAATGTTCATCATATTAGCAGCTTAATGATGAAACCCGTGTCATGCCGACATTATCTTATTCTCTTCTATTTTTGCAATATTTAGCTTAGTTTCTACATTCAAATTTCGGGCTAGTGAATTGTTTTGTGGGCTAGTAACCTCCAGGCATAGCTAGCCCGAATGGCTAGCAAAATATGGAAACTATTTCGCACACTGTCAGTCAGCAAGACTGACGTCGACCATCCGATACCGTTTTAGTCGCCTCTTACACAAGCATGGGTTACCGAAGATCAATTCTAACCCGGATCTTTACAGGTCTTCAGTCTGTGTAGAAGTATCGTATATGGTTGACAATAATCATCTGTATTGTAACCTGTTGGGGGTGGGGAACGTGGTCGTCAGGGTCCCGATCCACCAAACGGTCGTAGCGCTACGACATTCGTAAGCCTATAATAAGCACAGGTTCAAACGACAGGTCGTAAGGTTACGTACGCTTGGTGGATCAGGGTCTCCTTTCACAAAGCACTAAGGTGATCGTAAGTCACTAAGAATTAAAGAATGGGAGTTAAGGTTAACCTTAGGGACCGTTCATAATTTATGGCTATGGGGTTGATGATGATTTTTATGGAGAAGCATGTGCATCCCCTATAATTTATGTACAAAATAAGTCACCTGCATGTCATGTACAACATCTATGGCTATAAAAGATAAAGGAAGTGGACATAACTCCGCTGTGCATGATATTAGGTCACTGTCACCTGGATAGTATTTGCGGCCGCCTCCGTAGAGCGTCCGCCCGGAGAGCGGAAGGTCGCGGGTTCGATCCCCGACCGCGTCATACCAAAAGACGTTAAAATATGGTACTTGTTGGTCCCTGCCTGGCGCTCGGCATTAATGGGTACATGAAGGACTGGTCGGCTCGGAATCAGTATACTGTGTCTGAGTGGGGTATTCATGCTTCACTGCGGCATGGTATCTCAGTGAGCTAGCACTATAAAACCAGCTTAAGTCTGGGTTAGTACAAGCAGCCGCACATACACATAGGCATGCACGTCGTCATATGAGCGAAATATTCTCAAGCACGACGTTAAACCCAATTTCACCCGGATAGTATTTGCTGTAGATACGGACACGGTGAACCAAACTATTGCAATACAACGATCATACTATAACCGGATACCTTTTGGTAGAATCAAAAATTACAAGAAATGTTGATGAGAAATAACGTAAAGTTCAGTCAAATGGATGGCCCTGTCCAATATGCATATTAGTTCTTAGATTCCAGTATTCCTCTGTTTGTGCATGCATTTTCACTAAGTTTGCACCATTATTAAGAGTACAGGGCAGAAAATACACAATTTTGGTTGACGTCATGGCTTGTGTCGGAAACGACGACACTGGTATGTTGATTAGAACATCTCTGCTAATTTCTGTTCCTTATAAATAATACTTATAAGAAATCTCGGTACGTCGGTCACAATTTGACGCTCTTTAGACAGAACATAACACGAATGAGTTTACAATTAGAGTAGATAGTTTGACCGTGTATCATAACGTGGACAACAAGCGCACCTGTTTGGTATCTGTTTCACGTAAATTATTTCAAACAAATTATTTCAAAACACGCGAACTTTTCTGTCAGTATATAACGTTTCCTTGTTAATTATTATGTGGCTATTTCTCTTCATAATGGCAAAATGAAAGATGAAAAGAATTGCTCCTTTTTGATGAACCTATGAACAAAATTGTACTGGCATGGTTTATATTTATTTTGAAATTTCCGTACAGTTTAATATTCTGACATCCAAAATATAGATTATTTTTGTTAATATATAATTATATTGATTACATGAAGAAAACAAGAAAAGTAAATGGTTAAACGTTTGTGACAAACGCGCACCTGACGAATCATAAGACATAAATTTTCAGTATATTATGATATTGTGACTGGCAAAATGTGAATAATGAACTTAATTCTCTGACAAAATGCCTAAAAGATATGCGACATATACATCATAATATTGAAACTGTAAGCGACAGGATGTGATTATTATGTTTACTCCGGTTCAACCGACCTGCACCTCAAAGAAATTACCAAATGTGTGCAACAGTGTTGATGTATGACCTCACACAAAAATGGCGGATTCGCTAAAATCTGTAGGCGGGTTTTGCAATGGACCTTCCCTTGATTCATGGAACGTTTGCACATAAATATGTGATGTAAGTAATCAGAAACATTCTGACTACATGTGTATTGTTATTTGTTTTTATTGTTTTATTGTTAACTAAGAGAAAAAGTCAGAAATATCGTACCGTTGTCATTCTGCTTGATTTAACGTCAGTCATGGTGTCACGCTGCACGGAATATTTGACAATTTTGAAGAATGAATTTATCAAACTTGTACTGTATCTATTAACAATTTCCTATTTCTTGCTAAAATACTCTTGCCAGGCATATTCTAAATGTATTGAGCCTATGCATGCCACGAATAGACAAATGGAAGTCTTACAATTTGAGAAAATGCTACACAGTGTAAAATCTGAATTTTTCTTTGTTTACATTTCAAACAAGCGCAGTTTTACTTGCAAGGCGTTTCAAGATTTCATCATGACAGTAAGTTTTAGTGACAAAGAACACTCGTTATTTAATTCTAAAATGTACGAGAAATTTAATTATGTATTTGTCGCAACTGAGTGTAAAATATAATGATGTAGCGTCCTACTACCGGCCTTTGCGAAACGTGATTTTGTAAACACTACTGAATCCAATATGGCGGAAAGCTCACTTCGGCGTTCGTATTCGTGTATTTTCCCAACCGATTTTAGTGTTATCAGCGACGTTTCAGAATCATCATAGGTGATTTGATGAAAAACTGACATAACGGGTCATTAATACGCTATTTTTTAAATTCATTACTTCTAGTAATTATCTGACTTGTACATTTCAAAACACACACCAAATAACGCTGTGAATCACTATTTTATAATGTGTCCAAACTGTCGACATTTACAATGTACCTAGCTGATATTGAAAGTCGCTTTTCAGCACTTATGTTTTGCCTAAGATGATACTGGATGGTATCAAGAAACAGGGCATTTCCCCGTAGAATTCCAAACTGTGAAGAGTATTGTACATATTCAATGTTACATTTTGCATTTTATTCGACTTCAAAGTGAATGTTAAACATTGTTGCTTTC